ATACACATTCTTGGGACTCTGGGATGCCTCAGAAATGTATTTTCAGGGACCATGAGATCAAGACTGATGTTTAAACTGGTCTCATCACTTTGAGCAGAAGGACAGAGAGAGGTATTGTCTTGCTAAGGAAAAAACAGGTTTGATGTTACAGAAACATTGTAGTTCAACATATTCAGACAAGAACCCTTCAGTTCTCATTCAGAAATGACTTTTAGTTTTAAAACTTATTTGCTCTACAGTATTTTACAGAAGCCGAAATTGGAATGAAGTTTTCTGGATTTTACATAAAACAAGTATTTTGACAGACTTTAAGTAAGTATTTTGTAAGAACAATTACCTCATAGTGAAAATTGGACATGGGGGGAAACATGGGGTTTTGTTTTGATTCCTAATCATAACACTGGCATTCCCCAGTGAAAGAAAAGTGAATTGTAGCCCCTTAAAATTTTCCTGAGATGATTTTCAAGGGTCATTTTTGGCAGAAGGGGCTGTGCCTTGGCTGGCCTGAAGGAGCACGAGAAATAGTAAGAGTAAGCCTACAGAGTAAGGCTCTGTATATCTCAGTTATTCAATTGATCTCAGTGAAGATAAAGCCAGTAATAGCATTGATCTAGAGGCATCAAAATGCTCCAAAACTTATCAACAGCTCAGAAAGAGCCAAAAACAGTCAAGTAGCAGCTCCGACTGGTCTCTTTCTAGGCTGATCCAGCAGCTGACATTCCCTGGATGCTCTGAGAAGAGCAGCACCAAAGACAAGATCTTGCTGAAAAAAATGCTGCTCTAGAAAACATTTGTGTAAGGGTGGCAACCTGAACCCTGCAGAACTAACAAGGAAAGCTTGGCCCACTCTGCCTTTGGAAAATTAAAGCACTGGCACAGAAATCTTCCTTTCTGCACCAGGAGGAAACTTTTCCACTTGATAACAGGTTCACCTGGCACGGAAGCACTGTGAGTAAGGCAGCTCTGCAGAGAAAACTACACCAGGTAGTGATCACTTGGCTGAGAGCCCTTGAGATACTTTCTCACAGCTCAGCTGCTACACAGAGACCTTTCAATGGCATAACATACAATTCAACCTACTGGCTTGTATGACATGGTCAAGTACCTGATACAGCCATCTATTCTGTCTTTTTTTTTTTTTTTTTTTTTTATTGTAACTATAATAGAAGAATATTCAGGCCTTCTCCTGCAAAGAACTAAAATGGGTATCTACCATTTTGTACCATTTCGCCATAAGTCTCTGCAGCGTGATGCACTTGCAATATATCAATGCTGCAATCTGTATTATCTCTAATTTAATAGTTTTAGGATTTGTATTTGAACTGCTCAATAATATTGCCCACTGAGCCATTTCTTTAAAATGGACAGCAACACTGGAGAAACTTCATGCACACATTAGTGGGGATGAGCTCCTATATTCAGCTGTGAACAATAGCTCAGGGACAGTAATTTCCCTTTAGCAGTATTCAAGTCCTTCCATCACCAAACTCTCAACCAAAAAACAACTATATCGTGTAGAAATTCCCAACATCCTACAGAGCCAGACACCTGGCGAGGCAGCTGCCAGTCCACACCAGGTGATGTTATACATCTGAACCTCTAAAACCATTGTATGGAGCACCATGCCAGGATTTGAAGTCAACATGGGCTAAGTTTAGCAAGGCTAAAGCTAACTTTGCAAAAGAAGGCCGAAATTTTCAGCAACACTGGGATATTTTCTTATCAAGTTTCTTATTCCAAAATTTTTAAGACCTCCCTACAGCCCTGTCTAGTCCAAAAGGCCTTGCAAACATCCCACATGTTCTACTCACAGCAGATCAACTCTCACTCTCCTTCCAGGCTTAGTACTCTTCACACTATAACTTTGCGTTTTAGCCATTTCTTCACCTTGTTTACCCTTAAAAGTTGACAATTTTTCTCTTTGGGAGTTTCTTGTTGCAAGATGGAAGGGTTTCTGCTGCTTGGACTTGATGCAAGTGAAGGTCTGTGTAAGCAGATAAATTTGATGCAAGATACTGTGAATCTTCAACCAGGTTCTGATTTCCCAAAAACCCAACATTTCACCAGCAAGAAAATCCATAAGTAGAATTTCTATTGATATAAAACATGGCAATAAATAGCAACATTCATCAGTAGTATTTGTTGTAAGAATAATGAATTAAAGGACAAACTCAATGTTGCTGTGTTTCCTGGTGTTTTGTCCTCAGTTTCAAATGACCCATTTGCAATGGGCCAGTGAATACTGTATTTCAGTGCATATTCTTGACATATCTTTCACACGAAGTCTCCAAACACCTCAGAAACATTAATAAATTAAGCAGCAAGAGCAGTAATAATTTCAGCTTTACATTCACAGAACCTAATCCTCAAAGTCTTCCTGAGTATCTCTGGCAGATCTAAAAATGAAATTCGGTCTTCCAATCAGTTTGGATTATACTTTGCTACTAGATCATACAATCACACAGACTAATTCAGGCTGGAAGGGACCTCAGGAGACCACCTTGTCCATCCTCCTGCTCAAAGCAGGGCTAACTTCAGCCCTATACCAGTCTGCTTAGGGCCTTTCAACGTGTGAATACCCACACATGTGGAGGGAAGAGGCAGCACTGTTCTGGAAACCCTCTTCAAGTGTTTGACTACCTGCAGAGGGAAGAACATTTTCCTATATCTCCCCAGTTTGGTGTCATCATGAACGCGATGAGAGTGCACTCCCTCCCATCAATGAGGTTGTTAATGAAGAACATAGACAGTACTGGTCCCAGAGTGGGCAATGCAAAATACATGCAACATGCACCACCTATGTACAGCCAAACTGCCACCCACCCTACAGTGTTTCCACCCACTCCATTTCTCCTCAGGCTGACTACCAGGATATTATCATAAAACCCATCAAAAGCCTTGCTAAAGTTAAGGTAGACATCCATTTCTCTCTAATACTCAAAGATGTTAAATCATTTATTCAGAGAAAGCAATCGGGTTTGTTAAGCCATGATTCGTTCCTGATCAGTCCATTCTGGCTATGGCCTTGGGCACTCTGAAATATCTTCCATGAAAACCAGCGCTATCACTTTCCCAACCACGACTGTGAGGCTGATGGGCCTCTGGTTCCTCCTTCCTAACCTTTCTGCAGATGGCTGCAGCATTATTTGCCTTTCTCCAGGCACCAGGAACCTCCCACAGTCACCAAGGCCTTTCAAAGATGAGAGACAGCAGCTTCAGGGTGACACAAGCCAGATCCCTCAGCAGCTTCCAGTGCGGCCTGTCTGGTCCCATGGACCATCTTATTCAACTGGACACTGAATTCATCCTCCTCTATTGTGGCTCCTTTCTCCTTCCCCAAGCTTTGATTTTTGGAAATGCTCTTTGAGGCCTTGGAGCAGACTGAAGGTCTGAAGGTTTCATGGAGGAGTGGGTTCATACTACCCCAGTCTTTCTTCTCCTCTTCTCCTTTTTGCTACTTGACATAGTTGTGGTAGCCATTCTTGGTCAGGCCTCACCAGTTTAGATCCCTGCCAAGCTTTGACCTTCCTCCTTCTGTCCCTATGTGCCCATACAGCACTTCTGTGTCGCTTGTTGGTAGCCTGCCTCCACTTCTACCTCCTGTCTGCTTCTTGTTTGCATTTAAGCTCAGTCAGGGGCTCATCTGTCATCTCCAGTTTGTATTACATAATTTTCTCCTAATTTTTTTGAAATCTTATACCCAGTGGCACAACTCTCCTTCACTTCAACAGAGCTAGAATTTTAACACCCTTTACAAACTGCTACTATCAACTTTGTCACCTTGATCATAGAAATTTTGGTTTGCTGTCATCCTGTGTAACAAATAGATGCTTCTGCTTTAAATGATTTGTTTTATACAATTAAGCTGAACCTAAAAATGCAATATTTTAACACGCAATTGTGTCTTGTGTCATCTAACAGCAGCAGCCTCCCAGGTATGAACTAAACAATACTAATTCACTGTGACAGCAAATATAATTATAGTCTCCCACACAGAATTTTAGCAACTGGAAAATGTTTTCCAACTGTCTTCAACAGTATGCATGAACATTCAGCTATGCTATTTTCACTTTTCAGAACTAAAATAAATATCCGAAAACTCCATAAACTTTTTCTTTCTGACATACAAGTAAAGACCTGAAGGTTAACGAGAGCACTATTAAATAGAGTCCTTCTGGAAAGCATTAAATCCCCCCAAAAAAACAGAAAACAATAAAATTTCATACACAGTTTTGAGATTACATGGGAAAATTTTCAAACCTATTTTCATAACTTCCTGGACAACACATTCATACTCAAACCCTAAACAGTACTTGCTGTTGTTTGAGGCACTGTGAAATGAACAGGAAAGCTTATAAATATGAAGATGATGTTATGGCCAACTGATGTTCCAGTTCAGAAATATTTTTCACTATGAAACATTCAAACCAGTTTCTGGTATACATGCTTTAAGATGTGAAACATTTTAAAAAGGAAATGGTTACTCTGAGATATTAAAAACAAAAATTGCTAGCAAGCATATCTGAACACGTATTTAGTTCATTCTCTCTTTCAGAACTTAACATCAACAAAAACTTAGCACTGGTACATGTATACATCCATTTCTCACTCTGCTCTCTGACTGCTTTCTTGCGGCACCTTCAATCTAAAATGCCCTCCAAATGCTGGTGCACTTGGGTTCTAACTACTCCTTCCTTCAGAAACATCCCTACTGGCATTTCGTCTGAAAATCTCAACAAGTAACTCTTTCTGAACACCCACAGGCTCAAGCCCAAACCCATACTCTTTTGCTCACAATCTGAAGATGCTTTTGTTTCAACCACAAAATCCCAACTTGGTGACGGTGAACTAACTCCACAAAGCCTATCACTTTGACTTGACTTTGTGTATCTGAAGATTTATCTCTGTCTCTCTGGTTGCCACTTCCCCAAGGCAAAGGTGATGTTTTTCCACCCATTCTGTTTAGCGCTGATTGTATTGCACAGATAATTTTTAATTACCTTTCTGTTCAGAGCCACGCCATCTTCACAGTCCAGCACCGCACAATCGACGTTTAGCGATGGGATTTTTCGTATCTTCTTTTCATCATCCGCAGGTACGTACAGCACAGCTCGCCTGGGAACATACTTGTGAGATGATGCAAAGTGGTAACTGAGCTTGGGAACACCAGCTGGCAGAGGAGAATTCAGCCTGTGAAGGATATGGTGAAATCAGACTCTTGGCTACAGTGCTTCAAGGAATAATTGACTATATTTTAAAAAGAGAAACTTTCCTACATTACTAGTGTCAGTTTGGTTTTATTTCTCAGGAAGATCTAAGGTAGGGAGATATCAGTATTTCAGTTAATTACAGTATAAAGCCCCCAAATCACTATGCTCAACAGAAGTTGCAAACTTTAACACCCAGAACTGAAGAAATGCCAGGTCTGAGATTATCCGTGTAGCCTTAATTACGCTGCCTGTTCTGTGCACTGTGACAAACTACTAAATACAGAAAGGCTTTTGGTTTTTCTCCCCTTCTGTCACAACTCTTCTGTAGGCTGGAGGCTATGCTGGGGAACAGATCAGGGCTGCTTTAGCAAGGAGGCTGCTATCTGCCACGTGTGCTCCAGAAGCTAGATGGCATGCTGTGAATGAAGCAGGGGTGTTGTTTAAAACAAACACCGCTTTGCAAGGTTGGTTTTGCAACCTTAGCATTATTTCAACAACCGTATTTGCATGCAAATTTTAAATAAGCAAAATGGTTGGAGGGGGAAACAAGAGAACAGCCAGGAATGAAAACCCCATGTAATGTGCAACCTCACTAATCCCAATGTGTCCTCTGTGAAGCCTTCAGACCCACAGCACAGCCCTTGATTGACAGAGCTCCTGAGCTCATCAGCATCATCAGCAGGCTGTTGGCCACGGCAGCTTTTAGCATTTATAAACGCTTCATGCACTACACTTGGGTGCAAGTGTGAGGCCGTGGCACCACAGAGCTTGAGTGGGTTGCATCATTATGATCTGGAGTCATCAGGTTTGCTGAGGTCTCCACCCTGCACTGGTGGCTCCTGGCGAGGGAGCAGCCAACCCACCTCAGATGCAGGGCTGGTGGGCCGGGAGGCAGTGGGGCTGCCGGGGGAGGCTGCCCTCGAGTGCAGTAGGGAGCTCGCCTTGCTCCATAATTACAAGCACAGAGAAATAAATTGCAGACAGTGCCACTGTGTTTCTTGGCCTTCCAAAAAAAGCCCTTGCCTGTTCCTGTTCCCACCCATTTCACGGTGTACCCCCCAGGCCTATTCTGCTACTTCAAAAATGAGGACAAAATAATACAATTTTCCTTCGTATCCAGAGCACAAGTCACTTCCACCACAAAATAATCCCACCACATAACACCATTACGCATTATCATGTATATTATTCAGCACTTTGAATAATGCAAAGCTTTTCTAGCACCGCACTGAATATGTCATTATCACATCATGTCAGGGACCCATGCATTCTCCCATGCCCCTCTTAATAATATTGCCCAAGTTGCTACATTTGGATGACACACGGCTACGTGCGCACATAGCTTTCCTTCACAGTGGGCACGACTAACCCTCTCTCACGCCTGGAAACGAGTTCAGTCAATCGAAATTGGAGCCAACGTGATGTGCTGCTGACTGACCGCTTTGATACTTGCTTTTCTAAGCTAACCTCGCTGAAGCATCCGCTCTTCCCCTAGGCCTGGCACCCTGAAAGATGAGTATAGGTCTTGGGTTAAAAATTTGAAGGCATCTTTTATCACATTTTAACTCAGTAAACTAAGCAGAAAAGGACAACTATTCAACCATCTCCTGTGCCAAGTCCCTGCCATGTCCTGGGTGGACCCATTTTATGAGCCCACAAAAACCAAACACCTTTGTAGTATGTCTGGTAATGCTTAATTCACCCTAAGCAATGGGGCAGCTTTGCTGTTCAAGAGAAACGATGCACTATTTATTACAAACAGCAGTGCTACCCTTGCTAATAAATCCTCATCTCCAACTGTGGCAGCTCCAAGACTTGGGCAGTGGAGGTCCTGACACTGAATACGAGGAGCCTTGTGCTGAGTCTCTCCTAAGCACCATCCTTGCCCCTCTCCCACAAAACACTTCACGTTCCCTGCCATGTATTGAAGTGGGGATGATAACACAACTTGAGGCAACTCAAGTGGCTGCTAGTTAAATCCACTTAATCCCATTTTCTTGTAGCAGTACTCTGGGAGAGCAAGGAGGAGGTGGAAGAGTGGTTTATCTCAAATGGAAAGAGGAGGGTCTTTCTTCAGTGTGACACAGAGGTCAGCAAAGAAGTCCGCAGTCCTTCACTAAACATAGATGAGGGGACAAAAGTGATTAGTTTCCATTCTTTTTCTCTGATGGCTTCAACCCTGTAGTGCTGGAAGCACAAAGGAGCCAAAGAGCTCAGTCCATTAATAGTTAACTACGGCCTACAGACAAGCAGCCGCTGGAGCACTCTTACTGTCTGCCTCCCACCAACCCAAACTTGATGAAAGTGGCTAAAACCATCATCTCAGAGCACACCGAGGGGACATATCTCCTGTCACACACACATTTCCTAAGATTTCTCCAAGGGCTGTTGGACCATCCAGTTTCCCCTTCACTGCTGCAAGCCCCACGGAGGCCACTCTGCTCCGAGCACCATGCACAATGGCACAGAGCATCACGTAGGTGAAACCCTCAGTGTCCACAGAGCAGGTTCAGTCAGGTGTCACCTTTAAGGTCTGTGATCTTCTATTTAGATGGGGCAGTGGTGTGGCCTCCCCTCAAGAACTAGTAGATTTAATCCACGATGCTACCACCTGGTGACTGCTGGTATCTCTTTCTCAGCTTTGCAGCCCCATGGGCCCAAAATTCAGGATTCTCAGGACACAGATTATTATAAAAATATGTCAATTTGTCAAATTATTAGTCTTATGAAACATTTTAGCAAAGAAGTACTATTTTTTTCAAGAGGTGTGACCAAAAATGAAGAGTTCAGGAGGAATTGCTGTCAGCTGCCCAACATAGCATCTTCTCCTTTCGAAACAAAGAGCTCTAGAAATGCAAGTGTAAAACAAGGCTCTTCATCAAGGATACCTAGGTGTGGCTGCAACAAACATTTTCAGGTGCTATTATTTTCCCAAATATTATTTTAAAACCCTGTTCTCACTGCACAATTGCCTTGCCTAGTCATATCTTGTGGTCTACAATGAATGAATTGTAGAGTAAGAAGCACCTGTATTAAGAAGTCCATTTGCTCATGGACCTTTTGGAAACTGAGAGTGGCAAAACCCAGCATACTAACAGTTAGCTATTCTGGTAGCAAACACTATCAGGATTATTCTGACTTCTTTTTTTATTTTGAAAGAGTTATTTTGAAAGAGGGAAAACATCCCCACTGTGGTTACTTTTTTTTTTTTTTTTTTTTTTTTTTTTTTTAAGGGGGGGAGGTAGTGTCAGGGAACAGCACTGCAATCTCAGTTATATCATTAACCCCATGCTGTAAAGAGGAAGAAAATCTTGCATATGTTTCCTGACTGCAAGTATTTTAATGATTCAAACTAGCTTGACTGTGCCTAAAACTAAACACATGGACATAAGCCAAGTGAATTTGCTAAGACAACGTTTCTTCCTTTAAGCACTGCACGTTAAAATGAGGACTAGGCTATTGGGTAATGCTCATTAAATTGTTTTACTGCAGCTTCTCATTCACAGCATCCAGCAGCATGCCGAATGTTTGTGGGTCCTGGAACTGAAAGTAAATTTCTTCAGCAAACAGAGCACTCTACTAAAGTCTTCATCAAATATGTAAAAGTTGCTAGCAAATTAAAGTTACTCTCGATCCTCTGAGAACAGTTTCACCTAAGAGCAAACAGCTCATCCTCAGGAAGGAGAAAACAAAACCGTTCCGATTCCTAAGAGGCGCTGCACTTTGCAATGGCAGCCCTACAGCGGGACAGCAACCAGTGAAACTACTGAAAATTACAGAGATTTCCCTGATGCATACTGCATTTTCACATTCCAGCATTGCTCGTGCTCACACATTTACTGAACTGTATGCACCTGTGCTGTCTCGTTGGAGCCAACAACCTATAGCTCAGGAAGTAAAGTACTCCCATCAGTTATTTTCAGGATCAGCACTTTAACTTGAGCCTCTGCTCTATGTTTGTTTGCTAGATCGAGTCATCCTAGAAGAGACCCTACACCATCACGTGCCCAACACATGGAAAAATATCCGTCACTTGATAGGCCAAATCTCTACTTCTAAAACCCTTGGCACAGTGTTGCCAAAAAGTTTCTAAAGATCGTACTTAGGCATTTGAACGAAAACCATGAAAAAAGCAGGGAAATTTCCACACTGTGCATTTTTGAGCTGTAACTGGTAAATAACCGCAATCCCAGATACCCAGCAGGGTGGGGTGGCAGAAGGACAGAAGTGATCCAAGATCTAAGACCCCACTAAACACAACACAGCTAACATTTCAAAATCTCCTCCGAGCTAATTGTCTGATGTGTGAGAAAATAAAAATAAAGATAGGAAATTAAATATAACGGCTTTACTACGTCTGATTTACTAGGGAGTAGCTCCCAAACACGCACAAATAATTGACCAAAGACAAAGGCAAGTTGTGGGGAAATTACAAAGCACCCCAATTTGCATAGTAATTCTTTCTAATTAAGGAAAGAAGCTAGAAGTTGTTTGTTATAAACATCAGCAGGCCTTGTGCAAATACGACCAGCTCACAACCGAGCTAAGCATTCGTCAAATCAAAGCGACTTTCCCGAGAGTTTTATTGGTACAGCTGCAGCGCATGCATTTTATCACACATGCTAATAATCCTGGTTATGGCACTAACATTTTAATCATTTGTTCTGTGGGCTTGTTTCTCAAACAATTAGCACTAATGAATGGCCAAAATACCTCGGATCATATATGTCTAATTGCAGTCAAGAGCAGTTATTGTCTGCATGTACATTTCAATTCACCTCTGGGGATAATGTTTGTTAATTGTATTTCTTTATATAGCAAGTGAAAAAAGGCTGTTCACTCCAAAAGGGACTAAGTGTTCTCTTCTTTCCCTTTGTTCCCACAAGAAGCTAAAGTCACTTCAAGAGGCACTTAATCCCATCATCCATGGTTACAATTGCCTTACAGCATCAATCAAAAAGAATCTGAAGTAAAATGATG